TTATTTCCTTTTCTGTCCCAGCCCTCAACCTAAAACCTCCCTCAGATACCCTCAGGCTCTCACCCAAGCCCCAAACCCAAACCTTAGACCGAAACTACGACCGAAACTACTCATGTTGGGGTTAAGGTATAATAAGGGTGGAGGTAGGGTTCAGGGTTCAGGGATGTTCAAGGTTGGGGTTTAGAGGGATGTGTGTGTATGTATGTATGTATGTATGTATGTATGTATGTATGTATGTATGTATGTACAGGGGCGTTGGGCTTTAGGAGTGTTTCTTCCCGAATGCTATGTGAAGCAGGGGTTATAGGGGTTTGTAAAGGGTGTTTCCATGGCTGAGCTGAGGCACTTCCAATGCCCTTTTACAGATCCACTCCACCCCCAACGAGGCCTCCAACACCCTCAATCATCCTGAACCCTAAAGCCCTCAACCGCATACCCTTAGCTTGTTCCCACTATATATTAGGATCCTTAAATTTCTAGATATTGGATACACTGCAAGCACCTCGCCCCCAACGAGGCCTTTAAAAACTTGAACCGTCCTGAACCCTATACAATCCTTGAATCTAAACCCTAAACCTTACATCCCCTATAGTATTATTACCGTTGCGGCCCAGGTGAGATGTCCAGGGCTGCAGAAGCCCTCGCTGATCCAGACATCAAAGCAGAGTGGGAGCGCGAGACGGCAGCCACCTTGAAACAACTAGGCTTTCCAGTTGTTGAGGGCCCTACCAGCCTCATGCACTTGCTTCCAAAAGCATCTACATGCCTAACCCGCCGCTTGGCGGCCTTGGGCGAGTTTCTCCAAGAGCTGGAAAAGGCTGAGAAGGCTGAAAAGGGTGATGATAAAAGCAAAAAGGCAGACAAAGGAGGTGCTGAGTCAATTCTGTCGAAGACTTTTGGATGCTATAGCCCATTGACCATCGCATTCTGCTTGTTGTCTCTTGTGTGTTTCTGTTGTAAGCTACAGCAACATCGTAGTTCATGTCTCAGGACACTGACCAAGATGCGATCGGTCTACAGTACTATGGATGCCTGCAGCGATACCTTGAGTGCCCTCCAAACGGAAGGCCTCATGACTGGCTTTTATGAGATGCTTATTTGCATGTTCAGAGCACCTGTGCGCCTTCGAACCTGAAGCCCACAAACTCCAAGACGAAAGCCGCAAGCCAAGGATCGAGGGGAAGGTCAAGGTGGAAATGGAGAACGCACGGCGAGTGTACCTTATACGCACAACATAGCACCACCCCGAATCTATGTATCCAAACTTGGTGCACCAATCTAAACCCCAAACCCACCTAAACCCTAAACCATAAACCCTATGCCCCGAAGTTAAAACCACAGACCGCAGCCGAGGCTGATCGAATCTTGGGATGTGGAGAATCGTGCAAGGAGTGCTTCACATAGGGCCTTCTTTTTTAAGTGTGGAGTTTATTTTGCAGGGCTTATACAGGCATGGGGTCTGGGGTTTCCATTTTGGGCTTTAGGGTTTCGAGCATATAGGGTGGGGTGGGGGTTTAATGTGTACTGTCTGTCGAGATCGACTGGAGTTTCAGGTTCCGGGACCAGGTTACGGGAGGTCGGTGGCTTCATGATGTAAAGCAACAGCCCAAGCCTGAATGGTTTATTTGGCTGCTGCAAAAGGGAATAGTATAATAGAATTATTGGTTTAGGGGTGTAGGGAAAGTGTCAGGGAGCCTAATACACCAAAACCCCGCAGCCCGCAACCGAATGGTTCAGTTTGGCTCCATATAATTAGTATGTACGGAAAAATCTATAAGCCCTATATAGCCCTAAACTGAATGACTCAGTTTGGCCGCTATATATTGTTTTGGGGCTCAACTTGGTTGCTATAGGCATTTGATGAACCCTAAACCCTAAACCCCTAAAGCCTAAACCCCTAAACCCTAAACCCCTCAACCCTAAACCCCTAAACCCTAAACCCTAAACCGCGAAAATTTTAGGGAACCCTAAACCCTAACCTCATAGCCCCAGCTTGAACAAAGCAGTTTGTCTGCTTGCCTCACTAGCTAGGCCAGCTTTGAGAGCCCTATATAAATGCCAATCCCAAACCCCGAACCTCCGACCGGGCAGGCTTCAATGAACAACGGGCCAACCTCGAATGGTCCAAGCCCCAATATAATATAAACCTCATATAAGCACAAAACCCGAACTATAGGATTATAGGGCGTATTAGGGCTTTAGGGGTTTAGGGTTTAGGGTTTGGGGATAGGGTACCCAATTTGCGCCCAGGACCCTACTCGGGAAGGGTTCCAAGGCGGCCAAACCAAAGGCAGCGCCAGATGCGACCACGAAGCGCAGGGCCATCGCCCCCAAGTCCTCGGCGGGCTCAAACAAGCGCCAGAAGAAGTGAGTGGCTGCATGCAATATGTACGCTGCACACAGGTTACGAGATGCATTTCATCAAGCTGCTTGCCCAGCTGTATTTA